TAATTTTATGACCAGTGAATAGAAAACTATTGCCGAAAAAGGGCTATTTGTTCAACTTCCTGGGAATCTAAGAGTACAAAACTATTAGAGGTTATGATTGCGAGAATTTATACTAACAGTTTAGTTGTATTAGTATTCGAAAAGTATAGTAAATTTTGTTTTTTAATTTTATGACCAGTGAATAGAAAACTATTGCCGAAAAAGGGCTATTTGTTCAACTTCCTGGGAATCTAAGAGTACAAAACTATTAGAGGTTATGATTGCGAGAATTTATACTAACAGTTTAGTTGTATTAGTATTCGAAAAGTATAGTAAATTTTGTTTTTTAATTTTATGACCAGTGAATAGAAAACTATTGCCGAAAAAGGGCTATTTGTTCAACTTCCTGGGAATCTAAGAGTACAAAACTATTAGAGGTTATGATTGCGAGAATTTATACTAACAGTTTAGTTGTATTAGTATTCGAAAAGTATAGTAAATTTTGTTTTTTAATTTTATGACCAGTGAATAGAAAACTATTGCCGAAAAAGGGCTATTTGTTCAACTTCCTGGGAATCTAAGAGTACAAAACTATTAGAGGTTATGATTGCGAGAATTTATACTAACAGTTTAGTTGTATTAGTATTCGAAAAGTATAGTAAATTTTGTTTTTTAATTTTATGACCAGTGAATAGAAAACTATTGCCGAAAAAGGGCTATTTGTTCAACTTCCTGGGAATCTAAGAGTACAAAACTATTAGAGGTTATGATTGCGAGAATTTATACTAACAGTTTAGTTGTATTAGTATTCGAAAAGTATAGTAAATTTTGTTTTTTAATTTTATGACCAGTGAATAGAAAACTATTGCCGAAAAAGGGCTATTTGTTCAACTTCCTGGGAATCTAAGAGTACAAAACTATTAGAGGTTATGATTGCGAGAATTTATACTAACAGTTTAGTTGTATTAGTATTCGAAAAGTATAGTAAATTTTGTTTTTTAATTTTATGACCAGTGAATAGAAAACTATTGCCGAAAAAGGGCTATTTGTTCAACTTCCTGGGAATCTAAGAGTACAAAACTATTAGAGGTTATGATTGCGAGAATTTATACTAACAGTTTAGTTGTATTAGTATTCGAAAAGTATAGTAAATTTTGTTTTTTAATTTTATGACCAGTGAATAGAAAACTATTGCCGAAAAAGGGCTATTTGTTCAACTTCCTGGGAATCTAAGAGTACAAAACTATTAGAGGTTATGATTGCGAGAATTTATACTAACAGTTTAGTTGTATTAGTATTCGAAAAGTATAGTAAATTTTGTTTTTTAATTTTATGACCAGTGAATAGAAAACTATTGCCGAAAAAGGGCTATTTGTTCAACTTCCTGGGAATCTAAGAGTACAAAACTATTAGAGGTTATGATTGCGAGAATTTATACTAACAGTTTAGTTGTATTAGTATTCGAAAAGTATAGTAAATTTTGTTTTTTAATTTTATGACCAGTGAATAGAAAACTATTGCCGAAAAAGGGCTATTTGTTCAACTTCCTGGGAATCTAAGAGTACAAAACTATTAGAGGTTATGATTGCGAGAATTTATACTAACAGTTTAGTTGTATTAGTATTCGAAAAGTATAGTAAATTTTGTTTTTTAATTTTATGACCAGTGAATAGAAAACTATTGCCGAAAAAGGGCTATTTGTTCAACTTCCTGGGAATCTAAGAGTACAAAACTATTAGAGGTTATGATTGCGAGAATTTATACTAACAGTTTAGTTGTATTAGTATTCGAAAAGTATAGTAAATTTTGTTTTTTAATTTTATGACCAGTGAATAGAAAACTATTGCCGAAAAAGGGCTATTTGTTCAACTTCCTGGGAATCTAAGAGTACAAAACTATTAGAGGTTATGATTGCGAGAATTTATACTAACAGTTTAGTTGTATTAGTATTCGAAAAGTATAGTAAATTTTGTTTTTTAATTTTATGACCAGTGAATAGAAAACTATTGCCGAAAAAGGGCTATTTGTTCAACTTCCTGGGAATCTAAGAGTACAAAACTATTAGAGGTTATGATTGCGAGAATTTATACTAACAGTTTAGTTGTATTAGTATTCGAAAAGTATAGTAAATTTTGTTTTTTAATTTTATGACCAGTGAATAGAAAACTATTGCCGAAAAAGGGCTATTTGTTCAACTTCCTGGGAATCTAAGAGTACAAAACTATTAGAGGTTATGATTGCGAGAATTTATACTAACAGTTTAGTTGTATTAGTATTCGAAAAGTATAGTAAATTTTGTTTTTTAATTTTATGACCAGTGAATAGAAAACTATTGCCGAAAAAGGGCTATTTGTTCAACTTCCTGGGAATCTAAGAGTACAAAACTATTAGAGGTTATGATTGCGAGAATTTATACTAACAGTTTAGTTGTATTAGTATTCGAAAAGTATAGTAAATTTTGTTTTTTAATTTTATGACCAGTGAATAGAAAACTATTGCCGAAAAAGGGCTATTTGTTCAACTTCCTGGGAATCTAAGAGTACAAAACTATTAGAGGTTATGATTGCGAGAATTTATACTAACAGTTTAGTTGTATTAGTATTCGAAAAGTATAGTAAATTTTGTTTTTTAATTTTATGACCAGTGAATAGAAAACTATTGCCGAAAAAGTACTATTTTTTTAATTGTCTGGGAATCTAAGTGTCTATAGCTGATAGAGGTTATGATTGCGGACATTAATACTTGTAATATAGTTATCTCTGTGGTCGAAAGGTATGATGTTTTTTTTAAATAATTTTAGCACCGGCTAATGGAAAACTATCTCGGAAAATGTCAAGTTAAAAATCTTTTAGATGTAAAATGCCTTGCAAATAATTGAGGTTATGTTTGAAGGTGCTTAAAACTTAAGTATAGCTGTACTGGAGTACATAGCTAATGATTAAAATATTGCTATCCCAATATCACAAGCTAAGTAAATATAATCAATCTTATTATCAATAGATCACGATTTTAGTTCAAACCCTCCACCGATCCCACAGACCACCCACCCCCGCCAGAGCTGCATAGCAAATTATTCTTGATGTCCCAATCGAACTGATTTGGCGCTATCCATAGTAAGCAGCACAGTTAAGTACGATAAGGATAAAATTCAAAAAGTGATTCCAGAATACCGGAAAAATTAAAAAACCTTAACCCAAGCTCTTTAATCCAATAACCGGGTCACCCTGAAGTCTTTAACCCCTTAGCCCAGAAATCTCAAAGCCTATAACCACATAACCCAATTTATCATGAATTATTCAACCCCGTTACTTGGTGCCATAAATAATCATACATGCATTAATCAAAAATTATTATTACGAGCACAAATCACCAGATAATTCTGAGCACTTACTGTGCACTTTATAAGTTAGAAAATTATTATTTTTTAACACAAGCACCAATCACCATATAACCCAGGGCGCCTACTGGACACTTTATTAATTGATAAAATACGATTAGACAACACAAGTGCAAATCACCAGGTCACTCTAAACACTTACTGGCCACTTTATTAGTTAATAAGTTATTACTTCACAATATAAGCGCTAATCATTAAAGAGCGCTTGTAGGAAACTTAATAAATTTAAATAAAAACAATATATAACGTAACTGCTAATCACTAGGTAACTCTGGGCACTGACTGGACACTTTTTTACCTAATGAAGCATTAGTTAATATTAAAAGCACTAGTTATCAGGTAAGCTGGATCCCTTTTAGGCAACTTTATTTCAATATAAACCATTTGGAAAACTTTTACTCTTCATGTCAGATTCGTGTTTAGCAGAAGAAAATGTGAAAGATAAGTATAGTCAGACTCTAGCACAAGCGAAAATAAGGTTCTCTGACAGAGCATCTGGTTTAAATGAGAATTTTAAGGATTTTCCTGAGTATTTTTAAAATTAACTCAAAAACCCCTTTTTGTATGTCAGATTCGTGTTTAGTAGAAAAAAATACGAAAGATAAAAATTGTCAAACCCTTAGCATAGACAACTTTTTTTGTAGACCTGTTTTTTTTTTTTTTTTTTTTTTTTTTTTATACCGGGTTACCACGACAGCCTATTTGGCCTAGTCACGGGGGCCACCCACTAACCACCTATGTGTGGGGGTGTATTGCCACACCCATCTCTAAACCTTTTTCCTTGCAGCCTACCTGAATCCATGGGCACAGTGTGAGTATCTTCGGTGGAACACCTTGCCAGTTAAGCTGACACTCTCTGCACCGATGGTGCATCGGGTCCACTCACCACTGTGTAGCCTTTCCCCGGAGAAGACTCCATTATTCCAGGACGTCCACTCCTCGCCGGTTAAGCCGGCGCTCTCTGCCGAAGCATCGGATCCAGGCTAATTAGCATCCCCAGAGAAGCCCCGTGTTTCAGGGGCCACTCCTCGCCGGTAAGGCCGGTGATCCCTGCCCGACGCCTGGCATCGGGTCCGCTAATCCCTACCTATAGCCCTAACACTGTTTCGCATTCACCAAGGCCCGAGAACCTGTGGGGCAAGGAAAAAACCCCTATAATTACTCTGAAGGAAAATTCTACGGAAAAACCAGCCCCGAAACAGCCGGGGTTACATTGGAACTTTTCCCGATGAAAACAGTTTTTGAAAAAATCTGTATTCACCGGGAATCGAACCCACGACCCCTAGAACTGCGTTGTATCAGTAACAAGCACGCTTACCACTGAGCCAACGCCACTCCTGACCTGTGTTTTTGTTATTATTACGATTATTAGGATTATGGTTATGATTATGATTATTATGATGATGATAATAATGATGATAATAATGATGATAATGATGATGATGATGATGATGATGATGATGATAATAATGATGATNTTATTATCATTATTATTATTGTAGAAATTAATGTACGTAAATCACAATACCCAATTTTACTGTATTCATGTCTCATGATATATGTTAAAAATGATACGAAACAATAATATTAATGATAGAACAATAGTAGTAGAATTGTTCGAAACCTCTTTGACGCTGAGAAAACCATCAGGTTTTGTGGCTATGCTAGCCCGGTCATCGGCTTTAAGATTGTCGAACGTGTGGTTCTGCATTTCAGGTTGAGGTATAAGAATCAAGTCCTTGGAGCGGGCAATTAGATTGGAATTGCCAATTAAGCCATTCTGTAGTTTCTTCTCACCAGCTACATTAATCTGAGAACTTGTCGCTACTCCTATACGGTTGGTGCTGGCATCGTCTTCGCTGTCTTCGCCTTTTACTGTCCAGTTGCCGTTGCGCTTCTTTACATGTTCGATGTTTTGCCGGCCATACTGCAAAAGAAAATCTTTTATGGGTAAGCGTACATTATTCTTAAAAATAAACTAAGCGAAAAGGTATCTGTGGATACCTGGTAGGAACAAAGTTCCTTTCATAGTGTTTTTACCATACATTCTGTTCATAACGAGTATACTGAGTATAATATTATAAGTACTAAAAAAAATGCAATTAAAGGGTTTAAAATGTGCGACTGAACTAAAGTAGTAGTTATTGTACCATTAGCACAAATAGTGTAGGCACCAGGTTGGGTCCTGTGGCTTTTTTAATCAGGAAAGAATCCATCAAGGTTTTTTTTAAATATATTTTTACTTGCTGAACGCGATTTTTTATGGTGAGTCACGATCCTAATGGTCAACTTTTTGTTATTAACAAATTTTACAATTTTACAAACAATAATGAATTTTACAATCAAAAATTTAACGAGGTGGTACATTCACCTTAAAAAATCATGGAGAATTAATTCCGTAGAATAAAAACAGCCAAATAAAATTGCTCTTTACGTATTTTTAAAATACTATATAAGGCTTACAATTGAGAAAATGTTGTATTGGAATCAATAAATCCTAAGAAATTTTTTATTATCATTATGAAATTACGAAATGGCCTTGCCAACGAGAAGTATCAGCTTACTAAATTATTTAATAGAATTAGCGTTATGAATATATTTCTTTCAACGTATCAGAAAAAAATTGTTTGCAAAATTATTTATAAATTGAAATAAAACATAAAAAAAAGTAATTAAACCAGAATGATGAGTTGCATTGAAAGAAAAAAATCTGCTGACAGTTGAAATCGACCCCAAGATAGCAAAACATTACGAGCAGCGGCATAAACCTGAACCATCTTAGCCATCAAAACTTCGGTTCAGAGGGATCTTGAAGTCACATATGTTCATTGATAATCTCTAGAGCTTCTCCTACAGTTCATAGCAATTATGAATGAGAAAAAATAATAAATTAGTGGATAGCTGAACTACTATCCTCAAAAAAAAGCTGAATATTTTTCAAAATAATACTGGATTTCAAAAGTATTAAATGTACTAGAAAAATAAATAAGAAATGTTTTCAAATTAAAAGTCTGTGTTTATGATTATAAGGATTTAGTCCCACGATTTAATTAAATAAGATTGGTAGATAACATTGAAGCAAGAGCAAGAGCGAGAGTCAGTTAAATGTATGTAGCATATACTCGGTTACAGTCGAAAGAGAAAAACTCGTGTGGTCCCTTGCTTTGGCTGTGCGCTTAGCTATATAGCTATAGTCGACATTTTTACTCCTCTTCTCGAAGGCGCACACTCGGTATACCCCTTCCACGTGTCTCCAAAATATGCGCCTATTGGGCATATGTCTGTCATGTCGATGTATATATCACACTGAGAGGAAAAGTAATACAGGCCTTAC